TATATCCCCCAACCCTGGAATACACACGGGGATCCCCCTATACCCCCCCAAGCCTGGATCCAGGCTGACAAAGGGTCATTAGGGGGGAGGGGCAAGCAAAGGTCATCAGCAATCAATCACACGTACCGGGCCACGAGCAGCAATCTGTGGAGGTCGTCGGCGCTCATACTCTGCGGATCGTCTTTCCTCGTCTCCACAAAATCATCTTCAACGGACTGAAGAAAAGATCCGAATTCTGATGTCACATCCAGAGGAACCGAAAATACCACCGCACTCTCCCCCCTCCCACAGAACCAGGCCGCCATTTTGTTTGATCTATCCATATGTACCGGGGGTCTACAACCTGACTGCAGCCAAGCTCACCTCACCGGTCTGTCCGACTTTGCCCACATCATTAAAGAGAACCTGTTAGGGTGCCGGTATAGACGGTGCCGCTGCTTGCACATGCTCCGGGGGCAAGTCTGCACTCCCACAATGCACCTGTTCCAGGTCCAATGTCCCCAGGCAGAAGTCAGAACCAGGACAACATCCCTGAAGCCCTCAGGTTCATGAAGCGTCTAACATTGGCTCCGCCCACATGTGTCCTCACAGGTCCCTCCCCCGCGCCATGCGAGCACCCCCCTGTACCTTGGCTCTGCCCACAAGTCTGTCCTCACAGGTCCCTCGAAGAGTCCCCTGCCGTGCGATCCCGCCCCCGTACCTTGGCTCCGCCCACATGTCTGTCCTCACAGGTCCCTCTAAGAGTCCCTCCCCCCGCCGTGCGATCCGGCCCCCGTACCTTGGTGACCTCCTCGGAGATGCTGTAGTCCACGAGCCGCAGGAGGCCGAGGTATACCCGGAACTTGTTGAGCAGAGACGGCGGGACAGCGGACAGCAAAGCCGCCATATACTGATCCACATCGGGGGGCGTCAGCTGCGGCATCAAGCGAACCTGACAGTCCGACTGAGAAGAAAACAAAAACACAAATGGATCGAAAATGCCGAACAGAACCGAGGCCTGAATGGCCTTCAAATGCCAACTGAAGGGCTCAGATGGAGGGTCCATACAGGAAGTGGGGTGCGCTACGAGCAAATGACAACGGAACTATATGGCCTCAGATGGGTGACAACGCAGTATACACTTTGTGGTTGGTGTACACGGAAGAGTG